GATGCAAGGGGAGGTGTCTACTTCGTCCATGGTCCTGGAGGCACAGGCAAGACCTTCCTCTACAACCTCATTGCCAAGGCCGTTCGTGGCAGTGGCCAAGTTGTGTTTTGCACTGCCTCATCTGGAGTAGCTGCTATTCTTCTCCATGATGGTGCCACAGCTCATTCTACCTTCAAAATACCACTCCTGATACATGAGGATTCCACCTGCAATATCCATTGTGATTCTCCATTAGGTGACATTCTCGCTACTCAGACTGTGTTATGCATCTGGGATGAAGCCCCTATGCTGTCACGTTATATACCTGAGGCTCTCGACAGGACTTTGCAGGAGTTACGCAACAATAATCGTCCATTTGGAGGTGTGACCATGGTGTTTGGAGGAGATTTCCAGCAAGTTCTGCCAGTCATCCCAAAAGGTTCAAGAGAAACAATTGTGGGTCAAACCCTCTGCAAATCTCCCATCTGGAGAAACCTCTTGGTCTTCCATTTGACACGGAATATGCGTTTGGAGAATGGGGCACTTCCTGAGGTCATCCAATTTGCTGCATGGCTCCTTGATCTGGGTCATGGACGCAACCAACACTCCCCAACTCATGTTCAACTTCCCCAATCCATGGTCATTTCAAGAGGTGCCACACTTGAAGACCTTATCACAGTCGTATATCCTGACATTGCCACTGCTAACCACCCAGATCAGTACTTTTCTGATCGTATGATCCTTGCTCCACGCAACGCTGATGTCCATGACATCAACAACCGGATCTTGGAGAGATTTCCAGGGGAGGAGACAATTTATCACTCTGCAGATTCTGCTATTGTTGAAGAGGGTGTTGATCATCCAGATCCAATCCCTGTGGAGTATCTCAACTCCATCAATGCATCAGGTATTCCACACTCAAAATTGGCACTGAAAGTGGGATCTCCAATTATTCTCCTGCGCAACCTCTCAGTGACAGATGGACTTTGCAATGGAACACGCCTGTGTGTGGAGCATTTGGGAAGGTGGGTCATCCAAGCACATATCCTTGGAGGGTTTCATCATGGGAAAGTTGCATTCATCCCAAGAATGACACTCACACCATCGGACTTGGGGGAATTCAACTTTATCCTGCAATGATGCCAGTTTCCAGTTGCATTGGCATTTGCTATGATGATAAACAAGGCACAGGGACAGTTGGTGAGGAATGTAGGAGTTGATTTGCGTGCACCATGTTTCAGTCATGGACAACTTTATGTGGCACTGTCAAGGGTGACATCTCCTGAGAAGATTAAGGAAAATTTCCCCCCTGGACAACATGATCGTTTGACACCAAATGTAGTGTATCATGATGTTCTAATTGATTAATAAATATCCCATTGCATCTTGACTTTCACCAGGGGGACTATATAACAAGAATGACGTTGCATGGGGCAGAGCCCCTATGGGGTTTGGGGCAGCGCCCCAAGCCCTCCGCAGGAGCGGGGTTCGGGGTGGAGCCCCAAGGCCCTCCACAGGAGCTAGAGACCGCTAAACCCGTGGGTGTGCGAGGAACGAGCACCCCACGGGTTACAGGTCTCTAGTATATAATAAAGTCAGCTTGAATGTATTGTTTTATTCAGTTTTTGAATGGGTCAATACAGTTTAATTAACGTAAGCAATGCAGTTCTCTGAGCCATGGGAGTTGTGTCAATGTTAACAATTGCACTAGATAACCTATCATGGTGTAATAATGAAAGATGGAGAGGTCGATTGAGCGATTCCATTGCAAAAGACCCCATGAAAAACGGTTGAAAACTGAGGGAGATACAAGTGGTGGCCCATCCCAGCGCGAGGTGTGTGCGTGGGAAATAGTGTCCACGGCCTCATACAGGCTGTTTGACAATGCATGCTAATAATATGAGATGGAGAGATTGTTAATACAAGCTCATTGAAAAAAACCCGACGAAACACGAATGAGATTTGACAGAGATATGCATGTACATGTCTTTTGTGTGTGAAAAAATGTGAAAAAACGTCCCACTGCCTCATAGACCCTCATTCGCAATGTGTGCCAATAATATAAAATGGCAAAGGCGTTAGTACAGGTATGTACGAAAAGGAACGACGAAAACGAATGAGAAGTGACAGAGATACGCATGAACATTCCTTTTATGTGTAAAAAATGTAAAAAGACGTCCTACTGCCTCATACGCGCTCATTCGCAGCTTGCACCAATGTCAGAAAATAACCAGAGAGTTGGTCCGAGCCCATTAAAAGAAACCCGACGAAAAACGAATGGAAATTGACAGAGAAACTTATGTACATGGTTTATTTGTGGAAAAAACGTTCCACCTCCTCACTCATGCTGATTCACGACTTGCACTAATAATACCAAATGCATAGAATGTTAGTACGGGCCCATTGCAGCAAACCCAACGAGAAACGGTCAAGAACTGACAGAGATACCAATCCAGTGTCAGCTCTGCAGGTGATCTGTGCGTGGGAAACGTTCTCCAGCACCTCACAGGTGTTTTAAAAATATGTAAAAATATTAAGTACTTGCGTTAATTTAGAGTGGCATGCAAATTTTCAGGACAGTTGGTGCAGTATCAAGCGAGATATAATAAATGATTCCATTAAATTTCACTTGGCACCCTCAAGATCGCAAGATATCAGGTTAGGGTAATAATACACATTGTAGAGGGCATTGACGTGCGCCCATTGAAAAAAACCCGAAGAGACACGAATAAGAACTGACAGAGATACAATTGCGGTGTCAGGTCTGCGCATTATCTGTGCATGGGAAACGGTCCCCAGCACCCTACAGATGTTCTAAAAATATGTAAAAATATTCTGTACTTGTGTTAATAGTATATAAAATGATTCGAAAAATTCCAGGACATTTGGTTCAGTATCAAGCGAGATATAATAAATTATTCTATTAAACTTCACTTGCCACCCTCAAAATCGCGCAATAATGGGCCGGGGCAATAATAATAATTGTAAATAGCATTAACACGCGCCCGTTAAAACAAACCCGAAGCGAAACGAATAAGAACTGACAGAGATACGAATGTAGTGTCTGCTCTGCGCATGGTCTGTGCGTGGAAAACGTCTTCCAGTGCCTCACCGCATGTTGAGAAAGATATGGAAAAATGTCAAAAACTTGCGTTGATAATATATAAATTAGTTCGCAAATTTATAAAACATTTGGTAAAGTATCAAGTGAGATATAATAGATTACTCTACAGTTTGTGCATGGGAATGCGATAAATCGCTGTAATCTCCTCAGGATCGCCGAACGACGAGTCGGACCAATAATACAACATGTAGAGGACATTGAGACGCACCCATGGAACAAAACCCGACGAGAAACGGATGAGAACTGACAGAGATATGAGAGATTTATGTAAAGAATCACGTGTATATGTTTAGTTTGAGGAAATTCACGTGAGCAATTGAGCATAACCTCCCACAACTTTTTTCGCACACAGACATATGCGAAAAAGTACTAATACCCCCACTCAAAACCGGTTCAAACCCCCCATGGGAGCAACCCTTTTTTGCTCCCATGTGACTTTGGCATGTAAAATAGATAGATAAATAGATAAAATAGGTAGATAGGTAAATAAAAGTAGATCCATAATCGTAAATAGTAATAAAATAATAACAATAAAATAAAAATAGTAGTTGTTTGTTGTTGTTGTATTAGTTTTTTTTTTTTTTTTGTTTTCACTAATTAGTTATTAAATAATAATAATAATAGTAGTAGTAGTTTTGTTGTTGTATTAGTTATTCTTTTTCGCTGATTAGCATATACCATTAGGTAATAATAGTAATAGTGGTGTTATATTAGTTATGTTTTCGAAATTGGCATGTACTATAAACAGTAGTACTGTTCTCTCTTTTTCTTTGTATTTTGCTATTAGCATGTAAAATAAATGGGTAAATAAAATCGAATAATTAAAATGCGGAGCAGAATCAAATGAAGGGTTCCATATAAGGTAAAATTGGAGAAAATTCACGGCAACACAAGGTGTTCTGTATAAAATAAAATCTGAAAAAATTGCGGCAATGTGGGACAACATTAAAAAAAATCAAAGCACAATATTCTATATAAAATAAAATCCAGAAAATTCATGGCAACATGGGACAACATAGAATAACAAGATAGAAAAATAAAAGCAAGGTGCTCTCTATAAAATAAAATCCAAAAAAATTCATGGTAACATGGGGAACACTGTTTTACAAACTTACAAAGGAATTACAGACAAAATTTGATTGGTTGGGGTGGTGGGTTTGCAGAAATGGCAAGGAAATAAAGGAAAACAACAAATAAAAGGGCCTCACTCCCACTGCATTGCCAAGAGGGGAAAGGCATTTCTCATTCCTGTTAGAACGAGGCGGAAACGGACGACTCCGGAGTGGAATCGGAGACTTAGTGTGGAGGGACCTTGGCCTCAGCGACTCAAGCGGAGCGCTGTGCCATTGCTGTTTGTCCATTTGGTCCTTAATTTCACAGTAGGTGAGCAGGAAGTCTCTTGGGGGCATTTCAGGTCGATTTCGGACTGAAACCAGATGAGTATGTACAAGCGCCAATATATATAAAGAAGGGGCAAAAGCACAAGGAGAACAAAGGGTGACCGAATCGGAACGAAGACGTCCGAACAGGAACAAAGGGTGAAGGGAGCGGAGCGGTACTGAAGGTCACAGGGCAAGACCTGTGATACGTCCGAAAGGAGGTAGAGAGGGCGAGGCCCAGAGGGGCAGGAGGATGAGGGGAAGTGGGGGTGATGACTAACTGGCTAGAATAGAAGGAAGCAGTAGTCCAAATAGGGATGAGGGGGAATTGCGAGAAATACATTACAAAACGGCGAGAGTGCCGGAGGCGGTCCGCGAAGCTCGGGGGTTGCGGAGCTTACGGAGGTTACGGAGGCGGGGTTGGAAGTCCGAGGAATATTGGCAATGGTGTTTACGTAGTATGAGGTCACCAATGCAATGGACTAAGGCCGAGGTGGAGTCAAAGTCCGAGGTGGGGACTATGACGGAGGCTCGGAGTAAGGTATGAGCGGTGTCTGAGTGCGAAGTACGGGACAGCGGTGGAAGGTCGTAACTTGGCGGAAGGGTGGCGGAGGAGTAACGGAGGGAGGAGAGAGGGGACAGGTAAGGGGAGAAGGAGTGGCGGAAAGGAGAGTAGTCAGGTCCGAAGGTGAGTATCGGAGCGGACGGGGGAAGCGTAGGAGGGTGGCAGGAGGGTGGAGGTGTTGTGAAGGGGGAGCGGAGTAGTAGGAGGGTGGTGAGTGGGGCGATGTTCGGTCCGGGATGAATATCGGAGCGGACGGAGATAGGGTCGGAGAGGTAAGGGGGAGGTGTGTTTGCCAGGACCGAAGGTGAGTATCGGAACGGCAACGGTAGGTTATGACTCCGGAGGTGAAGAGGGTGGAGGTCCGGAAGTCGGGTCGGGTATGCACGGATATGACAATTCCTGTGTATGATTGATGGAGCAGGGTTTGGGGCGCAGCCCCAAGGCTCTCCGCAGGAGTGGGGTTCGGGGCAAGGCCCTGATGGCCCTCCACAGGAGCAGGGGTTCAAGGGGCTGGCCCCTTGGTGTAAAAAATAATCAAATATATCCAGGGGGGTTTGGGGTGCAGCCCCAGGCTCTCTGCAGGAGTGGGGCTTGGGGCAACGCTGTAGGAGGGCACAGCAAGTACCACACAAACAAGGCCAGAACCACGTTTTTCGAGGCTCCAACGAGCACCCTCAAGCCTCTGACACATTCACAATGCCCACAGCACATTTCCCCATTTTTTCCAATTTTTTCCATGCTTTTTTCTCAAGACTCATATTGCCACTTCCCCAAAATTCACGAATATCCACCATTTCCCCCATATCTCCACCAATTCTCCACCAATTCACACGATTTTGAGCTTGAAGGACAGCGACGGATCAGGAGAAGAGGATGGAAGGACGGGACGGGAGTTAGGATGACGGATATGCGGTGGAGAAGCGAGATTGATGGTTGATATTGACCTTATGGGCCTCAATTATTGATTTTATTGTTTCCTTGTGGACATTTTTTTTGCCTTATTGTTTCTTAGCCGAGCTCTCAACATTCTTCCTGTTTCCATCGCCACCATCCATCGGCTATTTTACTTGTTTTTTGTTCTGATTTCTCTTTTTTCTATATATACACCCAGTTTGCATTGTACTTACAGTTGTTGGACCCCTCATCTGTGCTACAAAGACTGTGGTGTTGAGCGACCCTCCCATACGTTTAAAGAGCTTAGTCTGACTCCCTGACGACTGTCCAAGAAGGACCAGGGTGAGTTCTGAGTTTTAAAAGAATTTATTAGTATCGTGCACTTGCACCGGGACCGTGTGCAGCCATACTGGTAGTAAGATTTCCTTTGCCCCCTTTTTCTTTTCTTGTTTGCTGCTGGGTTACATCCCTAGCACGCCTACAATGCCCCAATAGCTCTCTGCAGGAGCAGGGGTTCAAGGGGCTGGCCCCTTGGTGCATAAATAATCACCATATATCTCATTATTTCTTTAGCACATGGGGAACAATAATAACAAGGATGTCATTGCATGGGGCGGAGCCCCAATGAAGTGAGGTTGAATGTATTGATCAATACAAATCAAATTCATAAGCAATTCAGTTTTGCAAGCTGTTGTAGGAGGGCACAGCAAGTACCACACAAACAAGGCCAGAACCATGTTTTTCGAGGCTCCAATGAGCACCCTCAAGCCTCCAATGCATTTACAATGCCCATGGGACATTTCCACATTTTTTCCCATTTTTTCCAATTTTTTTCATGGTTTTTTTCTCAAGACCCATATTGCCACTTCCCCAAAATTCACGGATATCCACCATTTCCCCCATATCTCCACCAATTTTCCACCAACTCACACGATTTTGAGCTTGAAGGACAGCGACGGATCAGGAGAAGAGGATGGAAGGACGGGACGGGAGTTAGAATGACGGATATACGGTGGAGAAGCGAGATTGATGGTTGATATTGACCTTATGGGCCTCAATTATTGATTTTATTGCTACCTTGTGGACACTTTTTTGCCTTATTGTTTCTTAGCCGAGTTCTCAACATTCTTCCTGTTTCCATTGACACCATCCATCGGCTATTTTCTCTTATTTTTTTGTTCTGATTTCCCTTTTTTTTCTATAAATATGCCCAGTTCGTGTTGTACTTACAGTTGTTGGACCCCTCTTCTGTGCTACAAAGAATGTGGTGTTGAGTGATCCCTCCATACATTAAAGAAGCCTCCTGACGACTGTCCAAGAAGGACCAGGAGTGAGTACATGATTAGTGAGATTTTATTGATTATTTTCTAGCACCTGGACCATGGCACAGTATCAGCACTGTTGCCACCCATCCTTTCCCATCTTCCGACCCGACTCAGACACTACCCCCAGGTCCCTACTCTCTTCCCTGGGCAGCCCTTTTGCCCGGTTACACCATGGGAGCAATTTCAATGTTAACAATTGTACTAGATAACCTGTCATGATGTAATAATAAAAGATGGAGAGGTGACCATGACACGCCGGTTGAAAAAAACCCGATGGAAAATGGTTGAAAACTGAAAGAGATACGAGTGGTGGCCCATCCCAGCGTAAGTTGTGTAGGTGGGAAACAGTGACCATGCCTCATACAGGATTTTGACGATGCGTGCTAATAATATTAGATGAGGAGATCGTTAATACAAGCTCATTAAAAAAAAAACCCAATGAAAAACAAATGAGATTTGACAGAGATATGCATGTACATCTCTTTTGTGTGTGAAAAAATGTGAAAAAACATTCCACTGCCTCATACACCCTCATTCGCGATGTGCGCTAATAATCTAAAATAACAAAGGCATTATTACAAGCACGTCCGAAAAAAAACGGTGAAAAATGAATGATAATTGACAGAGATATGAATGTATATGCTTTTTTTTGTGAAAAATTGTGAAAACCATTCCACTGCCTCATGAACGCTCATTTGCGACTTGCACCAATAATAACAAATAACTAGAAAGTTAGTACGAGCTCACTAAAAGAAACCTGACGAAAAACAAATAAGAATTGACTGAGATACTAATGTACATGGTTTATTTGTGGAAAAAATGTTCCACCTCCTCATTCATGCTGATTCACAACTTGCACTAACAATACCAAATGGAAAGGAAGTTACTACAGGCCCATCGCGAAAAACCCGATGGGGAACGGTCAAGAACTGACAGAGATATGAATCCTGTGTCAGCTCTGCGCATGATCTGTGTGTGGGAAACGGTCCCCAGCACTCTACAGATGTCCTAAAAATATGTGAAAATACCAGGTACTTGCATTAATAGTATATAAAATGGTTTGCAAAAATTTCAGGACATTTGGTCCAGTATCAAGCAAGATATAATAATTTATTCCATTAAACTTCACTTGGAACCCTCAAGATTGCAACATATCAAGTTAGGATAATAATACACATTGTAGAGAACATTGACATGCGCCCGTTGAAAAAACCAGAAGAGAAATGAATAAGAACTGACAGAGATACAATTGCAGTGTCAGGTCTGCGCATGATCTGTGTGTGGGAAAACGCTCCCAGTGCCTCACAGACATCATGGAAAAATATGAAAAAATATAAAATACTTGCGTTGATAATATATAAAATGGTACGCAAAGTTATAGAACGTTTGGTCCAGTATTAAGCGAGATATAAGAGTAATACCATACAGTTTTGTATGGAATAATCCATCAATGAAAAATCCTGACCCATGAAATGAGTTCCTGTGCACTTAAACATTGGCACTTTCCACTTAGTGCTTCTCACACTTAACATTCTTAACATTCTTAACATATTTGGACATTGATCACATGAGCTTTCTATACATCAGCAGTTTCCTGCATTGCACTTTGCACATTGCACACTTAGCACACTTAACACACTTAACACATTTTATATACCCTACCTTGTATACTTCTAGCTACATCATGTTCCCTTTCCACTACTAGTTACTGTCTTTAAAAAAAGATTATGAGCTATTTATGAATTGATGAATAATAAATGAATAATATCCTATTGATATTGTGAAAGAACAATGTTTTGATTATTTTGAGATTGACTGAGGTAGCTGTAACCCTACTAGGATGTAACTTTGGTGCAATTGCATGCTAGATGCTATGGCTCAATGGCATGTGTGTTGTACTGGACTATACATTGTGGGGGGTGTCAGTTCAAACCCAGCCAGGGGAAACATTTTTATACTTGTTTCCAGGTGGTTGTTTGGCTGTTGTCTCACCAAGGACTGCTGGGCATGTTCTACCTGCTATACCAGACTCCTTCCCAGTCACTCACATGATTTCTCTGAGGTTTAGCTGCAACTTATGTTGCCTCCAAAATCTGTTGAGTGACTGGTACAACTTGCAACATGTGATGTTCCCATGTGTCATGAACCCACCTGGGGGAAGATCCAATCGCTACCCAGGCAGGTGTGTCTGGTGGAGCTTGTCATGGCCATGCATTCTGGCCCATTAGCCACCCATCCCAATGCCATCCAAGCCTGTCCTGCTGCGCGAGCGTGAGCACAAGCCCTGACCCTCATCCCTATCCTCCTTGAGGACTCTGGCCCAACTCCAAGTCCAGCACCAATACCATTGCCATCGCTGCTATCGTGGCCCTACACCCCTTCATTTATTTATCTGTTATTGTTTGTTTTCACCCTCGGTCATTGCCAGCCGCTGTGCAGCCAACCCCACTCTTTGTTCCCTTTTGCTTCTGGACCCTTTGGCCTTCAGCCCAGGTCTGCTTCTATTCATTTCCTCTTCCTATATATATCCTGTATGATACATTATAGTACTTTAGCTCTAATATCGATTTGACCATGACCTCTCAAGTCCTGACCCCAACAAGGCAACCCCAGTGAGTCGGAAATGAGGGCCAAGAGACAGCTAGGGGGCACAGCGCTCCTTTAGAGTCACTGAGGCCAAATGCCCTACCCTCAGGCCTTGTTCATGGCATCATGGCCATCGCAGCCTATAGTGGCCTGCAATGGTGACCCTTGGTGCCGACCCCAGACCAGTGTCTAACAGAGCTCGATGTTCCAGGTCATCCAATGGTGGGTCAGAGACAGGCTGGGGGTGGGGCAGAGCTCCAAGGGTGATGGGGTGTTGAAGGGACTTGGCTTCAGCAACTTGGAATGGAGTGCTGCACCTGTTACATTGTAGGCAGGATAATTGCCCATGTGCAGAGCCAGCTCAGATATCCATTCTTATGGCTAAGAAACCACTTCCATTCATGCAACGATTCGGTCCGGAATTGGTATCTAAAAGTAGTTCTAATTTGTACGATACCAACGATACCAAAAACATCCCAATCGGTGGAGAATTGACGGAGTTCTATGTTGGGCAAGTTAGTCATGGGCATGTGTGGGTGTGGGAATCTCAAGCAGCAACCCAGAATTCTTGCCTCACTCGTTCCCACAGCCTCTAATAAATTGGTAAAAATGCTTATTGGCTGCGTAAAAGTTATCTCCAATCTCTAATTTCGGCTCTTAATTCCGTAAATCCGTTGAGAAATCACTTATTTTCTTATATTTTCATATCTTGCCATCATTTCAGTTATTGATTGATATCCATTTATTGTTACTGTTGCCCTTTTTTATTATTTCGCCTAATAAGGTACCCAGGTGCCATATGGCACCAATATTTGCCATCAATTAGTTCTAAAAATAATTGTTCCTTATATCCTGTACATACTGGATTCTGGAAAAGAAGTTCTCCCCTCCCCCAAAATTCCCTAAGGTGCTAGGATGCACTAGAGTTGGTGAGAGTGAGTGGGATTCCAACAGTAGGAATAAGGGCAACAATATAGTCTGCAACGAGTGGGTAGGAGCCCAGACCTTGCAGAAATCCCAGAGAACCCACTGCAGAGTTAAGGATCGAGCATAGCAAAGTTTAGTCAAGAAAGTAGGATTTTGGAGAGTTTGGCCCCATGAGCTTAGTCGGCATAGAGATGGACTAGATTCTTATGGTCCGTGACTGCAAGTAGGTAGGTTGTCTCTGCCCTCCTTCATTATATTTCTCTGTCAAACTCCATGCCAAGCTTTCCCACTGGGTTTTGGTGCTGGCTGGGGGAATTGTTAAGTTTCAAGGGACTTCCCTTGACCATTGAGACTTTGATATTAGATAGAAACCAGTCATATGACATGGAAAGGCAAATGCTGAGGATGTTGATCATTATCGAATACATAACCCACAAACCTTGTACCGTGATTGTAACATCCTCACCATTGTGCCACCACTGTAAACTCAACCTGTAACTCTGGAACCATGTCCACCTCCCTATTCATCCTCTCTATGACAAAACCACAATGAGGAGGGCATTCCCATGC